CTACAACAATACGGTATGAATTTGTATCGTTAGAAGCACCTGTGTTTTTCATCCGTACGATAAGTCTTCAACCCACTTTACTCGAAAAATGTATGGTTTTTTTTTCTTAACTTATAATTTCATCATGTAGATAGCGTGAAGCAAACTCGGTTAGATCTCTTATTCTTCTCGTCTAGAATTTTAGGCAAACGACGCCTGGAATTAAACCTTTGCAAAGCTATCTTGTTCATTTAGAGTACGAAGTAATTGTGGTATTTTTTAAAAGCTTTTAATAGGTCCAACATCGTTATGTTCCTTAATATCAATCTATAATTAAAAAAAAAGTTATTTGTTTTCTAGAAGCAAGGCGATCTTTCCAGTTGCAGCTACTGCCGGTGGGTAAGTTCGCACTCGCCAAGAAGAATTCGTACTTCTTTTACATAATATGAATATCTTGGTGCTTATTCAAATGTCGAAAAGCCGCGCTCAAGTGACAATTATAATAATAATAATAAAGAGAATCATCATTATTCTGTTAATTAATTAATGTCGGAGCAAAGTTTGAAATTTCCTGCTGAGTCCCCGATCATTCTTATTAAAAGGGCGAAATTTAAGTAAAAGAAGATAGGAACCTTTGGTATTATTCTGATTCGATTGTAAATAGAGTACACTTTCAATACGCTCCCGTAAAGTCAAACACATTTATTGAAAAAGAAAAACCTGGCATCTCTGTTGCGCCTACGTTATGCAGCCGTCGTAATCATTGGTGAAATCGCGCTGCAAATGAGCATTCAGGTGTCAGCATATCCCTTATCGACGCATATCGGTGGCATCAACCTGTTCTTCGTTCGCGCTGTCCTAGTAAGTAACCAATAACTCCAACAAGCGGATACTGCCGCTCGCTTTCTCAGCGCTCGCAAGACGCAGTCGTTCTCGTTCGGATGTACGGTATGTAAGAAAATATTGATCGTGCGTATACGATATAAAATGTAGCCAGCAATCCGAGCACGTACGTCGATACGCTCGATCTGATAGTGCAGAGCCGAGCAGAGCGGTCCGGCTCTTGGCGGCCCTACGAGACGTGGCCGCCAGGAAATGGGCCGGTTTTTAAAGGGCTAGATGCGACGTTGCAATTACCATCTAGGCATTGTCCAGCGAAGTACACTGTGATGAATACGATTGTGCTATAGATATGCCAACAATAGGGTTGTAGTAAAACTTTGTCGGATTCCATTCTTTTACCAAAATCAACGTCCTTCTTTAAGACTTTGGACAGTAACGAGACTAAAAAAAAAACATCTGAATAAATATGAAATTAATATTTTATTTGCTTGGGGGATTAGTCAGAGTTTAGGTCTTCGTAATCGAGCGCCATGACGATATTCTACATAGGGAGGCCCATGTGTCTACTTTTAATTTATTCACTTTATTTAGGTTAGCTAGTATCCTAGCGAATTCTTGTATTGAACAAAAGTGGTTGACTCGGTGCTTGACTTCCCTGGATAACAGACTTTTTACATGGTACTGGTGAAATTCGTTCTAAACATTAAGAACTAAGTTTTAGTTACCTAAGTATGGCAGCACCATCGACCAGTCCAGCAGCCCTAAAGATGACGCTGACATGTTTCAATAAAACCTACATAAAGACATGCTTAATGCACAAACAAAATTGATATTGCTAGAGCTATTTAATTGAAACTCTCACGGAAAATCCTTTTTTTCTTCGTTATGTTTCAAAAGCAAACCATCCAACGTAACTAAAAGTTGAAATAAACCGTAAACGTGTGCACTTTAATTTATATACGATTTAGCAGCCATACCACTATATTGTAACACTTTTGTCGCATTTTATAGAAACAACATAAGCTCATAATTAGAGCAGAAGGCAATGAGACTGCCGTTTCAAAAAAAAAAAAAAGAAAAACTCCTTGAAATGTTTAACAGTGATTCAGCAATTCTCTGAATAACTAGACTCCTTTAAAATTCGTGTCTTATAATGGTGAGCGAAGGACGTTTCTTCACGTGCCCAAGATAAGCGCGCTAGATATCGCCGAAGTGTTGACGAAGAATTGGCAAAGTGCGAAATGTTCTCATCCGAAAGGACTGTCGGCCTTATGTCCAGTGTCATTTCATTAATCAAGGATCCAGCTGTTCTAAGCCTCCAAAATTGCGCTGCTAGTTAATATCGCCGCGTAGTATCGTCATGGCGTACTAGAATCATGGCTTTCACTAAATCCGCCCAGCTTTCTAGCCTAATGCTGGTCAAAATATTTTTTCAGATATTGTGTAAAGTTCGCATGGAGGTCTGTGTGTTTAAAGCCTTAATCAAATCAATTATAAATATGATTTATGCAGCCAGCTTTTTGCGAATCCCCAACTTAATAGAGATAATTTATTTACACGTTTTGTTCCCTTTAGGATACCCATAAAGGTCCTGTCTCGAACTTCGGGCGTGTAAGCAATTAGGTAGTGGTTCCTAAGGTTCGATGCATTTGTAGTTCCTACCTTTCTCCAGCACATTAATGTATCCGAGCTAGAAGTAGATTTTTTCAACAGAAAACTATGTAGTATCTGTAAATGCTCCTCATAAATATAAGTCGAACATTTTTGCTGCACTCCCCGTAAATCCTCCAAGAAGATAGATTTTTATTTGATTCAATTTAAACCCACTCGAAAAGACGTATGTAGCAGTAAGCCCGCTGTCCTGATTCTATACGGGACATTAGCTTTCCGTATAAATCAGTAAATAACCATCAGGCAAATGAGCTTGGACGGCTCAGGTCTAAATCGGTGAGCGTGCAAACAAAATGATGCGACAGACGAATCCATTTTGTCATGCCGTAAATAACCTCACAGTTTATAGATGTAGACATTCATAAAATGGCCTCTTTTCTGTTTTGTTTTGTTTTCTTGTCAAAACAGAAAAGCATGACCTCTCGTATAGTCGAAGGACGGCCCAGGCTCCACTGCCATTAACCTCGTGTGCCTGTGGCCTATGCTTTATCGTCCAGAATAGAATAATTCATATCGTTGTTCTCAGAAGGCTTGCTTCCGTCAGAATAGCGGTGCATGGAAAACCACAAGGACTGAACCCCTGACCGCTTATGACGCAATATGTACACGTAGTATGCTCTTCATCATGTATACAACTACAAATATTCAACTATTCGTCAGTAAGCCCGTTTGATAAAATTCACGCTATATTACTTACTGAACTACTTAGGAACATAGGTGGAAACTGAAAGGTGTTACACACAATTTCAGTCTTAAATGATTTTTTTTATCGGTTTTGCCGTATCGAAACTTCGTCTTAGTAATTATACTTCGTGCTGTCTAGTTATGCATCTGTACAAGGATGTCATTTATACCATCGAACGATAGGTTTAATCAATTGCTGCAACTGCCGAAAGACGCATATCTGCTATGCTACAAAAGAATTGCCTTTGTTAAGCGAGCTGGCTCCTATTAGCATTCGGACTTTTGTTAGGTGACTCATTCACTCCGAAGACCTTTTTATCGCACCTTCAAGCAATTCATACAATTCTAGTCCCAGGAACATACGATTGCTTCACTTCTTCACGTAAAAAAAATATCAACTATTATACGTTCTATTCAAAAATAGTACCGAAATTTAACTATGAAGGGTAGGCGGGATCAATAGAATAACTATTCTACAACTATGATTACGGGCCTATTTTGCTCACCCGTTTCTGGCTTTCTGCCAAATATCGAAAAAAAAAAAAAAAAAAGCAAAAAAAAATAAATCGCAAAAATAAAAATAAAACTCGCACTACATAGACCGAAAATTTGATTCGGCTAGATTTTCGATTTGGATTTGTTTACCCACGGTTCAATACAATTTATTAAACGTTGAAAGAAAAGCAAAATGAACCAATTTATATAGTACAGTGATTGCAGGTGGCAAATGGCCTCACTTGTTTGATCAGATCTATTCCTGGCGATTTAGTTCCAAATATTCCCTGTTATCTCTGTCTAGATTTGACTTGCGGAAAAAGTAAATCAAAGCCATCTACGAGGTGGCCATACACGTGACACTGGATCTTGAACTTCAGGCAACAAGGACCGATGACCAAAAGGTATGATTTTTATTTCTGCTCGAAGTTGACTGTGCGTCATCTCCTCAAATTGTGTAAATGCGCTACAATTAATTACCGGCTAAAAAAAGTATCTAACGAAGAAGCAATGTTAATCAAGTGATGAGTCCAAATGGGATGTTTTATAGACCATTGCTTCATCCGCTTTCGAACGCATCATAATTTCGATGGTACTTGCGTTTTTGAAGCACATCAACCAGCTTACCTTCTTCTCTATTTACAAGACGTTAGCCCTTTTGTGTGATTTTCTACTTCAACCTGTCTACATACGTACTTTCCTCGTGAATTCTATTTTTTTCATATCGGTTTCCTTATTCATTATGCTATTGTCACGCTTGGGCTAAGCTAGTGAAATAAGATACAAAATTTTATCATTAATTAAACTGGAAACCCGTTCTTTATCTTATTCTGCTACTATTATTGCCGTAGACGCGGCCGCCGCCGCCGCCGCCGCCGCCGCCGCCGTCGTCAAGACGCTTGGCTATCTTTAGTAGATCCGACAAGTCAGCCAACAGTATAGCCAAAACACACTGTCCATTTAACAAACTTACGGTCATCTTTTTCCATACAATTGTTAACTCACATGCGTGCTTTTATGAGTGAATGGTGTCTTTTAATATGATCAAGCTTCCAGTTTCCATTCTATATGAATGCTTTGTTGGCCGACTTTGCTGTGTCTTATTGACCTTACTTTCAGCACTGTCAACGCTCCGTTTGGCTTTGCCCTTACTCCGGGCTTCACCGGCGCTTTCCTGAAATCCTTTCGCCCCTTCCTATAGTTCGTGCACGCTTCCATCCCAACAGCGACCTCCTCGTTTGTGTGGCTCCCTCGCACACCCGCACCGTGGGTTGTCTGTCGCAGCTAGCAGGTTGCGCACAGACAGACACACGTACACACAGGATACAGCGTACAGGATACAAGACACAGGAACTACGGCATGAGGATCATTACTATTTGGCGGAGCAACGAAGATCATCCATAGACAGAGAGACGTACGGGCGCCTATGCCGTCCGTAACTCCCCCAGCTATTGCCGCGCTCTGTTCACGCCAAGTACGTAGTGGCAACCTGCTGTGGTTCCGTTGTTAAATCAAAAGAAGGCAGTTGGCGGACGGACTACTGTTTGCCGCTCTCCAAGTGAGTCCCGTGTAAAGCTCGAAGGCATTTTCGTGTCATTCTGCAGTGGTCCTCATAGCCGCAACGTTCTGGCCTGACCCATCAGGAGCCAGCACGCACCCGTCGCCCGTGTATTCTTTCTTTCGCATGAGGCTAACGATGAGGGTCGCTGCCTTCGGCTGTGCCCAGCTGCTCATAGTGATTACATTCTCTACAGCATCTCGGCAAGAACGTAAGTTCAATTGTAGGGTTGTAACAGTTCATTGAAGTCATCAACGCTATAGCGAGGTCGAAGATATGAGGATAGGATCGTGGAAATGACCGCGGGGAGGACCGCGACGACTCCAGGTGTCTTGCTCTGTTGATACATGTACGATATGTGTGATCGCCGAAAAATCATATTTTCTTTTAAAATCAACCGTGGGCGAAATAAACACGATAGAAAAGCACGCATATGTTCTCACTGATAGATAATCAGAAAGACCATGAAAATTAAAAATTGCCAAAACATCCACTTCAATATCGTTACTGTTTCTTTTGAACGACGGCTTATACTGTCTGCTACAGGAAGATTTTTCTAGGGCACTGTAAAACGTTCAGTATGTTTTACGCTTTCACTAGTAGTTACTTGACTTATTTACGTATATTTATAGATATCATTGAGAAAAAGTTGACTACAAACGGGCTCTGTTATTATTGAGATTCTGATAACTTCTCGCTTTGTACACACATATTTGATTTGATCTTGGCAGTTTTTTTATCATCGTTTAACGGTCGGCATTGATTCGAAAAGGCTAATATAAATAATCAGTGATTTTGCAATGAACCAGCTCTATTGTTGATTGTTTTTAATCAATAAATAGTCATATAAACTAGACCATCAAAACAAACAACTGTTAATATGTGATTTAACGTTTCGACGCCTGATGGATTGTGTAGGTAATAAGAAGGAACAATGTCAAACAGCGGACCGGTTCTGTTTGCGCTTCCGCACAAATCTTTCAGACAAATGCATTAATTATATTCCATGACCATGCGACTGTTATTTACTGTGTGTTACCAAAAAAAAACTGCTGATCAAATGGCTCTATCTATATTCAAGTGGGCACATTTCAGCCGTCCAAATCCCGATTGTTTTATTCAAAATAGCTTCTACAAGGTCTAAAGTGCTGTGTTACAGTGTTTTCAAGTTTCAAAGATTTTTCGTTCAAGCACTTTGCCAATGGAAAAAGGCCACAACGAATTAGATTTAGTATACGTTAAAGTTGTGGCTATACCCGCATTGAATTTTCTTAGAAAGCTCGTAATACAAGTAGCGACGTGTGAGCCAAGCACTATTGTCGTAAAGGATACACAGTTTTTTTTTCCTAGGCTTAGGATTACCTTGACGGAATGCATTGCGCAGTTACTCTAGGAACCCTTGATAGTACTCTTTGTTGACAGTGATACTATTCGATGTGAATTCATAATGTACAACTTATCAGTCTTATCAGTTCAAAAAACAGCTGGATCTTTTATATAAACCTTGGATCTTTTTCGTCCTTAAAACGATACATTGCCTTTTGTGCTGTCCTTGCCAGCTCTAGGCCTGTACATTTACGTCCTGTCACTTGTAACGGCGCACTGGAGCACATCCAGTTTTTTTTTAACACGTCATGGTTCTCCTGAACCTATTACTAGTGGATCTGCGTTGACTTTAAAATTTCGCGCCGTTTTTGGTGGTTTCATATGAATTTTCATGCGTTTCAGTGGTCTGATATGAAATGTCTGACTTTTCCCGAAAGATTTGGCGCTTTTGTTTGGCAAGGATTGTTCTATTTGCCTTTTTTCGCTCAGAATTAATTTCGTGCATAACACAGAACATTACGCACGTTTTTTGGTACTCCACGTTTGCTCCTTAAAATAAACAAAAACGCGGCTGAGAATTACACGTTTCAAAGACCCTGTACAATAATGCGTAGTGCACGTTTAAATGCTCGAGGATTCCGCCTGGGAATCGCAGACAGGCGGGCGGATATGACGTTGTAAGGTCGATTGCGGGGCGGCAGTTGGTTTGCAAAGGGCTGGCCTGTTAGCGGTATGTTTGCGATCCATTGGTACGTACCTGTATAGCGCATACGTGATGTCTCATGTAATGAAATATCCCCTGGTTTCTAAATCCATTTAGATACTAAAGTGCACACTTCATCGTCCGAAAAACGCTCAGATCATTTGTTCATTTCTGGGGGATCGATGTACCTTGGTAAGATTTTCTTTGGTAAATACCTTATATTCTATAAATGAAGGCATGCCGCATATACGTTCATGTTGCTGTTGAGGTGCTTATCTGATGCAGTCAAAATTTCAGTAGTCAATGCTTTGTGGCTTTCAATAATCTATCCTTGAGCCTTTTCAGTTTGGCTTGCGTGAGCATTACGACAAACGGGACAAAAAAACCGATATAAAACGGCCCTGTGAAAATGGGAAGTCTCCATGCTACATATGAACGTTCTTCTTTCAATGGGGAATCAGTACTCTGACTTCTCGACGACGCTTATTCTCGCAAGAACAAGAGGCGACTACATTTAGATAATATATCAACAGAAACAGTACAGAGAGGTGCTAAGTGCTCCCAAATCCGTTTACAAACCTACAATGTTAATATAGTCCCTGTTTGTGGTGCGAAACGTACATATACATTAATTCCTAAAAGCCCATCGAACGGTCGCGTTCAGCTTATACATTGTATGCCACTTGCCAATGTATAGCAAATCATGAAATTAATAAAAGTTTATATCGCGCATTAGAGACTTCGCAGGGTGTATACTTAGCGCCAGCCGATCCATTCAGTTAACCGTATTAAAGGCTACGTGTGATACACAATAACTGTTTGTTTGTCTTTCGTTATTTGCTATCACTTCTATTTTCAGATGAATCCGTACGGCTAACGCGACTTGGACCGTATGGGCTACTACAAAGCCCGGTCCAGGGCTACCAGTCGATCTTAAACTCGTTTGATATCCGAACAAACACAATAATCCGTACAAATGATTCATTGCGCGCCGGTGCCAAGTATCTAAGCGAGAGACAGCTTCGAAACAGCGGAGAGTGCTCACTCTACTGTTGGGAGGTGCCATCCTGCAATGTTGCAGTATTTGAGGAGAAGGTATGGCAAGTTGCAGCGACATTCCCGTGCACATACATCTAAGAGGTTTTAAAAGGTACCCCGTTCTCCATACGGTATAATTTTATGGGAGCGCTTCGGGGACTTGCTAACCAATACATACTTTTCACCTTATCAGCTGGGTTTGCAACGGATATATTAAACGAATTAAACTAGAAATTTACTCGTTTTAAACTTCTGAGATATTCTAGTTCACCAATTGTACGCTTTTGTACTTTGTACGGTTGCGAAAGATGCATTCTTTTACGCTATACACAGTCTCGTCATGCAAGTCTATGCATTTATTAGAGCCGTAATATAATTCCGCAGGTGAATGTAAAGGCGGTTATTATAAGTTCTCCTACAGAAACAGGTGATTATTTTTGAACTTACTATTTCAATAGCGGTCACACGACATGTACTTAGTTATCCTTATTCGTTTCCACGTCGGAAAAAGTTTTTTTTTTTATAAAATTTTATTATCAAAAAACTATTTATATAATTTCATTATTAAATGAATGTGTCCCGTCAACCGAATTAGAACCGAAGTTGACCTGCCTTTAACTATTAATAAGATTAAAACTGAATTTATTCATTTACGCTGTCTGTTAAACATTTATTGACGAATTGTTAATCAGAGCCCGAGCAAGTTTCTAGCATTTAACGAACACAAACAGAGCTTCAGTTTAGACATGCCATCAATAGGTAGACCCGTGTCGAATTTTTAATATCATACGGTGACGAAGTAGTATTTCTACACTATCATGCTAGCGAAAACAAAATTTTATATTAGTTTTACATAGATTTTTACGATATCGCCAATCAGTCTGAAACGTTTACTATTATTATGTTTCTATCCGCTCGATCAGAGCAACGGAGGTTGTTACGTATTCGATTGTGGAGCGCCGGAAAACTTCGCGTGTCAATTCACAACGCATGACGCCTACACTGTTTTACTGTTAAGTACGAGGTCACAGCATGAAAGCGAGCTGGTGTCGCTAAAGCACGTGGGTCATGGACACGGAGAGGTCCAAGATGAACGTTCTAAGACAGCACAACGCCCGCCCCAACTTGGCTCAGCAACGCCGACGAGTTCGCCCAGTTCATCGACGTCAACAAGCAGCGGCAGTACTACCGCTACGACAACAACTTCAGTAACAACCTCGCCGACGACAACAACGTCGACGCGAAAGCCAGGTTCGTGTCGGCTTGATTTCACTGACGGCAGCGACGCTACGTGCGTATCAGTTATTCCGCCTTTTTTTTTTCCGCTGAGTTAGCATGACTTAAGGACTAGAGTAGGGCTGAGCTCAAATTGGCCCGTCAGCTCAAGTCATTATACTTTCCTATTCCCTTCCGTATTAGTGAACATCCTTCTGGGCAGCTGATCCTGTGGACGGTTCAGTGGCCTTACGACTAATTATGTATAAATATACAATATCAAGCACTGTTAAATGCTTATCGCGAAACTGTAGCTACCCACAATATGACGCATATATAGATCTGTTGGTCGTATACTTATGTGGTACTATTCATCGTGCAGAAGCTGCACGCTGTGTTGAGCACCAATTTCGATGCTTAAACAGCTCAGAATGTATCGCTATCTACGACGTGTGCAACGGCATACCGCAGTGTGCAGATGGAAGCGATGAAGCCGAAACTCTCGACTGCCATTCTCGGGATAGGCAGCGGATGCTAAAACAACCGGTAGAACTCACTGATAATCAAATCTACGAGATCGTACGCCCACTGCAGGTAAAAAATAATATTAAAATTGATTAATCAGTGTCAGTGAAATTACTATGTAAACAATCAGCGAACGAAAAGATAACTCAGAAAATAGCTGTTAGTGATAATATTTGTAAAATAGAAAAATAGGACGAATACGATATATGTACATATACATAAAATTCTATCTGTTTAACTGTAAAAAACAGTGCAGCGAGAAAGCGCGCTAGTACTCGTTACGCTTAGTCAAGATAGAAGGAACGTTCAGCAACGATAGGGCCGTCAGAACTTGCTTACTTCCTGTCGCAGTAGAAACTTAATAGGCAATGCCTGCAGTTATTACACGATTTATTTTAGTGTTAGCAACCGATCTACGTTCTGTAAAGTTTATCGATTACGCCTTCTGCGTCAATCAGCCATGATTATTGTTCGCGCATCTCGGGAAAACTGTTTCTCTTTATCTATTCGAATTTTGCACCGGTGTTTCTCTTTATTTCATAAAATAGGTAGAGGAGAGCCCACGAGGAGAGGGATATCGTTTCGAAAATGAACACACGAAAATGGACACGACATACCCCTTAGCTAGTCTTTATATCTACTGAAATGTTTGCGCTCGGATTATCTAGCTTAACATACACAATAAATATATTTACGTCCGACTACGAATTTTAGGAAAAATTGCAAGAGAAAGAGGAGGCTGTTTATCGCCACCCGGGCGTTTACGAGGAAACCCATCAGAGAAAGTACCCACCGTATCGAGGTGACATTTACAGAGGCAATCAGGCGGTTGATTATAATGATGTGTACCCAAGTAGGCGTTTCTCAACGGGTCTGTTCTCTCAGCAGCAAGACTTTCAGCCCAGGTACTATTGAGGAATCTCATTGAATATATCTAGTTATTGAAGCTTCATAATATGCGCCACTGGGAAGACTATCTACAGAAAACGAATAGATAAAAGCGCCCAGTTTGCAGAACAGCATTTTTTGCTTTTTTCAATAGATCACTATCAAGTACCTGTTTGTTTATAGCGAATTTAGTGTGCGTGTCGTCAATTTATTTACGTATTTAATGAACGCTGAAGAAAGAACCACACCGCAGGTTCTTCGAATTGAATGAACTGAAGATGCTAACGGCACTTTTAATCAAAATGAAGCCATGTCCTGGGGGTTTATGCGGTCTAAAGTTGTCAGTCGTTCAGTTGCGTGTTGGATCAATACATTCAAATGCGCTATCGATAAAAAAAATATCATTAATCCTCATTATTTTATTCCAAGTTTAATAGGAATACTTAACGTTCGAAGCTTAGTCTAGTTCTATCACTGAGCTTAATGCCAGTATAAAATAGGTGATCGTCTCCAATGAGCGTAGAAATTGTTTTCTATGTCAACACATATTGCTATGACAAGAAAAAATATTTTTTAATGAGAATACACTCAGGCCGTAACACGCTTAGGCAAATATCTACAGTACGCTGCGTTATCTGATGGCTATGAGAAGTACCAACCGCTGAAATATTAGGCATAGTACCTTAAAACACAGATACGTGTAGTCTCAGTTAGATATCCGAAGATAGCGCGTCAATAATACAGGAAGATACATCTAAGTTAAGCAAAGTGTTATCAATTCTTCCCCCTTAAATGAGCAACTCCTTAAGGGCAGTACCGTCTTTATAGCTGATTTGTCAGTTTTAGTCACGGTCTCTCAGTATTGATCAATCAGATGATGATTAATACAGAGTTAAAAAAGATTAAAAGTGGAATCAAATGAGGACAAATTGACCCGTGATCTACATTCGACATTTCGATTATTTTTCCTGCTTATAATCTCCCCCTATATCGCGTTATTGGAACCCCCAATAAAGGAGTATTCGCCCATATTTTGCTATTAATGTACAGCTTATATTATTTTCCTTTGTTGTAGCCGCTACGAGGATGGCCAGGCAGGCATTAGTGGTGGTAACAGCTACGGAGGAGGATCTGCGTCAGGCGGGATTTATCATAGTGCGACCGCTATGCAACGGGGTTACGACAACGCTCCGGATTTCCCGACAAACTATTACCCTTACGCTAGAGATCGAGGTTCAGCATACGGAGGTAATATACTGGGCGGCTTACCTGGTGATCAAGGAGAAAAAGGTCTCGGTAGTCTCGACAGTAAAGCAAGTTTATTCGGGGCTCCGCGTTATGCGCCCGGTGGAGCTAGCCTCACCCAGCAACAGAAGTCTGAAAAACAACTTCAGATGGCCAAGGCGGTAAACACGAACATTGTAAGGTAAGCTCAAAGGTTTGGTCCTTCTCCCCATATGTAAGCTTCGAAATAGTACAAATAAGCACATGTATGTTTTATTTTCAAGTGTTGTATTTTATGCTATGGTAATTGGTGCGTGTATGTATATATGTATGAACCATGCCGTCGAAACACATATGGAGATCGCATGGTATAACCCTATAGAACCGTCTGAATAACACTTCTGTGATGTTTCAGTGGCAACGTGTAAGCTTATTTGATTTAGGTAAGAGTTTCGAAACAACCTCCTTTGTTTCGTGTTACCGGAAATCGTGCATTTGATGCAATGTTAACGCGGTTACAAAAAAAAAAATAGTAAATGTATATATAGGATAACGTGACTGTATTTTCTGACTACTTTGTTCGTGATAGTGCACTGAAAAAAAGAATGTTTATTCAATATAAATAAACATTATTTACAACGATTGCAACACTAACTAGTTAGTTTTAACATGTATATACCTTTCTTTAATCCTTAATTAATCTTTGATTAAATAGTTCTTCAATAGTAATTCATTAACCGATATTGATATACTTAAAATGTTGCTTGGTAAAAATACGCTAAATAAAAAAAATTCGACGAAATTAAATTTTGGACTTATAGCAGGCGCCAAATCCCAAAAATGGAAAGGCTCAGAACGCCCAAAAAGTTAAGAAAGTGCGAAAATGTTTAAAAGATCTCGAAAAGATTAACCGTTGAAGATCATTCTGCATATGTATGTATATAAGACGTCGTTTGTCTAATGAACCACCCTAAATGTTACCAATACGAAAAAGAACAGGAAGGGCAAAAAATTTTCGCATGAATGCCGCAATTCCTCCAGATGTGCATATATACAGAATTGCTGCTTTTTTGCCTTTGTTATGCCCTTGACGCCTTAGATCGTTCCAGGACTGTGTTTCCGCGACTAAAAAAACTTTCGAGTTATATCCTCAATGTACTCTAAAACCTAGATATCAGTTCTAGAACCAGAATAACAGGCGATTTTTTTTCTTTTTTCTATTGATCTTTTAGAGAGCCATTATCGTCGTTGGAGCAGGCGAAATCTACCCAGAGAACTGAAGGCGGATCACCACCGGGGGGTACTGCTGGCGGAAGTTCAGAGGCTAAACCTCGTCGACGGCCAGGTAAATTTATGGACGAGGCTTCACCTCCACCCCGAGCTGCTGGGGGTCCTCAGCCAGCTACATCATCCGGAACGGTACGAGAAAATGCGGCGACAAGCAAGCCTGAACCGGGACCGCCCGCGAAACAGATTGGTAACATGGCCAACATGCATATTTCAGTTACGCAGGTAGAGACGAAAAATACGTCTTCAACCACATCCGGTGCTGTGGTGGGACTCGCGCTAGGAGTCTGCATGAGCACCCTATTCCTGCTCGTCGTAGGATGCCGGCTAAACATGCGTCGACGGCTTTCACGATGGCGACGTGGAGGCAGCAAAAAAGGGCTAAGTCTATTGGCTCCTGAAGACGATGAAGATTATCTTGTAAACGGCATGTACTTATAAGGATGAAGTTAACCGAAAATGACAGAAAACGACGGAACAATAAAGAAAAGAGGAAACCGCTAATTTTATGGATAAGGTAAACAAACAACTGGACCGCACTCCGCAACTCGTCCTGAGTGACTTGTGACAACAGCTTGCTGCAGATATTCTCCATATGATTTTGAGAGTGTCGTACAGAATCAATCCGTACACAGCGACCTAGAAACAGAGCCAACAAGGGCAGGAAGCCGCCAATACCATTGGCTTAAACAGCACATCATAGTCGGTCCGAAAACACTGTCTCTAGCTTTAAAAAGCTACGAAAAGTCTAAGAAAAAGGTATAGCTTCTTCACAAACGATCTAGGCGCCCTCTGTATCTGTGCACTATCTGCTCAGGAATTCGCTTTCTGCCTTTATAAAGCAACGACGAGTCGATAACAACAAAAACAACTTCGAGTAGAAGAGAAGAAGAGGCAAACGATGAACCAGTACTGTTTTTCGTGCAAATCGGGCCATTGTATTCGAAAACTTCCCAAGCCGGGAGAGTGAAAAGTGGCCATTAACAACTGGGCAGTTTTTAATGTACATACATTCCGATGCTGTGGTGACATTGTAATATGGTATTCCTATAACATAGTTATTATTCCTCATTATTATCATGGGGTATTCGTTTTCAACCGACGATCGCTTCGTCTCTAACTTCGGCTGCTAACTAAAGAATTATTGAATTTACCATGCAACGTCCTGACACTCTGGCCTCGTCCTGTCACTTACGTATAACGAAGGCATTCACTGTCAGGTTTCTTCCTTCACCATCGAGGGGAAAATAGCTAAAATGTTGGACGAAGGGCAGACTTGAAATGTTTGTTGTTTTGGCGAAGGCCAAACGAGTGGTGTTTCTTCTTAACAAGCTGCTGAGAACACAATCATCATATGATGATGATTACGATTAGTGGAATTACTCTAAAAAACTACTCCTATTATATGTAATGCTACAGTCTTGTTGAGTATGGTTAGATGAAGCTATTGCTCGTCGCATGGTTAAATAGAAAAAAAAAATCAAAGAGTGGTTTCGTTTGGTGCGACATAGCGATACACATGTATATGGTAAAAAAGCAAGAACACATAAAAACAAGTCACATTGATGGCAGTGGTAATATCCTGTTCACTTTGTACATAAACAAATAAAAATATAAGAAAAAAGCAAAACGAAAAGAAGAATGATCGTGAACATAACGACTCATATATTGATCACGGGGATGATTAGTAACGATGAAGCTGATATATTAATAAATAGAGCGAACAATGAACAGAAACCATGGTCACGTTCTCGTTTCTGGCGTGAAACGAGGAATAGTCAAATTAAGAAGAGACTTTATAGTAAGCTCTGAAGTGCTAAAAATATCGCCGAATAATATAAGATCCCTTTCTATGCAACAAAAAACAAGGATTCGGAAGAAACTATATTCAATCGATTTTTATTATGGAAAGTAACTGAAAATTAGTTAGGTAAAATTACTAATGAATATGGCAATGACAAAAGGATGATGGTTTCCACGTTACAACAATGGCCAACCATAAGTACGAAAAGGCTTATTCCCATTATCTTAAGACGTTTTATCGATACGTATTATAGTAATAAAGATGGATATTTTACACTTATGTCACTATTAACAGTCCTCGTTTTATCTTCATACAATATAACGTGTTCAAGGTTGTTGAAAGTATGCGTTCTGCCTCCAAGAAACATCAATTTTGTCATCGCGAAAATTTCGTCCAAAAATCTCAATTTGCATTTTCCAACCTCCTTCTTATGCAATCAAAAGTGAGGATTAAAAAAATTGACAGAGATAAGTTAACTAATATCAATAATAGTTGTTAATAGAGATAAGTCAGTTGGCAGAATATGTTTCTTTTTTTTTCCAAAAAATGTGTAGCATTTGCTACTCAAGTTACGTTTAAACATGCTTTCGTAGAAAAACGGCTAATTTTTTTCTGGTACCTGTCGCGTCTGCCATTGGACTCCAAACAACGCCACTATCAGCAGCAGGACTTTCGCCTTTAATTTAAATAGCTCTCAGATTACCTGTCATGAATTCTGTGTATTGCTACCTAAACATCAGTGGTGGCCTAAGAAGGCCGTTTCAACCAAGTCACTTTCACTTAAGTCATAGTTCGGATTTCCCTTTCGCGTTTGTGCAAACAAATAGTCCAATGATGCACGCCGTTCTGTTAACTACTGGATAGAAGTAGTAAATTATTGTTTGTGTTAGTGTATGCCATCGGCGCATGCACAGATTTCGCAGATGTTTCTACGAGATATCGTCGGTGCTTCAATCTAAGTCAACAGCTATATCATTAAAGGCCGTACTTCCGTAATTAGCGGCAATATCTGATTCTGCACAATGTGCACCCCTAAGGTATAATAGTTTTTTTTACTCAGTCAAAATTAAGGCAAGTGAACCTAACTATTGAGTGAGTCGTACCTTCACTGACAAACTCATTAGTATAACTCTAAAAATTGTTTTAAAAAAAAATGCTTTTGCTAATGCGCCTGTCAACACATGAATATATATGCATGAACAATGGACTGATTTTTTGTAGTATTAGCTAGGGAAATAGGTCTCTATATTTATTGGTATATAGGTATGTTGGCATTAACGTTCGTCGTCAGTGAACTACTCATTCCGTCTTCAAAATGTACATTGCCCTTATCCAAATGTCAGCAGAAGTGTACCATTCAACGACTGAACGCTGGTTGATACGTGAGTCAACGTTTATGGCGTTACCGATCCCCAATCATGGTAATACTAACAGAACAACTTGTAAATCCGCCTGCCCAGTTAGTTCCCGCAGTACCCGCTTGTTTCCTTCATCGTCATCGCGGCACCTTAACGCTCCCGTATACGTGAACCATTCCATTGACTACTGATGTAATCACTGCTCCTGCCGCCGAGATATCTCGATCCGAAGAGCTGCCCGAGAGGAAAAGTAACACGTATCGATTGCCGCAAACACATTTACGGCTCGACGTATGTGAACGATGATCGTTTTTGGCCCATGCGCTGCCATTATTGTAGACGCTGTCCCCCTTGAACCGCAGCAGTGTCAAGCGTGAGACAAAGTGCGTATAAACTTCCGCAGACGCAACAGCGTTTTCGAACGCCGCTCGAAAAAATGACGAGCCGGCGCTCGACCGGTCGCATCTCCCTAAAGACGGTCGAGTTGTGGCGTCATCGTAGAGATGCCTATAGTTGTTATTCATCCAGATTGTGGCGCCGTAGTCTTGTAAATATATATAGTATAATAGATTGATGCTTAATTACTTGAGCGGTCGTCGTTCGTCAAGCAGGAAAATAGAAAAAATTGTGACGAAGCAGATTGTTTGACATAAAATTGCTAGTATACCGCAGTTGGTGTTTTTGCCGGCGCAGACTCAAGTATATATACTTTTCTAAGTATATATCGAGGTGTCGCAGAAATTCATCTCTTTGATGGGCTGCCCAACTAGTTTTGAACAAAGCTAAACAAGGTTCTAAACCGATAAATTACTTTTCGGCCCCGATTCATTATGTACCCATTACCCCGAAGCCCATTTTTAATGACACCGTTTATTGACCTGATCACTTGTTGGGTTCCAAGCGAAAACTGTAACAAACCTCCGCATGCTGGGCTAAATATTTCGTCCTTATTTTTATCATTTTCTCATTTAATCATGTCTTTTTAACACCTTTTGGTGCTATGTGCTCTAACCCCAAAAAACAAACAACCACACTAGGTAAAAGTAGCCTAGCTAAAAACAGCAACTGTTCGTCGGTTAAGCACTCCACTTCCGTCCTTTATACAAAGTAGTGCTATGGAGCGTGTTGTTTCCCACATTTCAAAACACCGTTCCTTCAAACCGGGCGCTTGACGACTAGCAGCGTCCACCAGCACCTGCTGCAACGCGACGGCTACTGATCGAGATGAACTGAAGCATATGGCAAATATATGTTTCTCCGCCAGTCATCTTTGCTGAACGAGGTTTAGGCCCGTTGATCCAACTTACTGGGCCTATACGAGCAGCAGCCTCGGGCCACACATACACACAGAAATTAATCGGCACAATCACACCCGTTCTTAGCCAGGCCAAGGCTGCACGGTACCCTATACTCTGATAATAGCACTCAGCTGATGTTTCCTGTTTCTTTGAGACTTCGCCCCGCTGCCACTGTCTATGGACGTGATACTGGCGTTTATCGAGGCAGTTTTCGCAGGGCCCGTAGTAGTATTACTGTCCTCTCTCCATCTTTCCCTTGCCATGCGATCAGCCGCACGGCATCGGCGCCCTTTCCACGTCGCCACGTGGGTTCCATCACAGCCATTTCAGTAACTCAGCGCAGTGCCAGACAACAATTTGCCCCGAAGTAACAGACTCTCTCTAGAAGCAGCAATAGCGACAACTCGACTTTACTTTTACGAGTGCCACGCGCGATTGCAGTTACCATAGCAGTTGTGACTTCCTGTAGAATGGAGTACAACAACGACTACTATTGCTATAATAATTTCTACATTATTGCCAGTGCTTTACACAAGTAGACAGCAGAGAGAAAACAGCCAGTGCAACAGACATTTCTAGTGGAGGCTTACGCTGGGAGATATCGCCAACCATCTAGAGTAGTAGTATCGTTTGCCGGCTTATTGGTCTGATAGAATATGGCCGTATGAGCTGTATACAATACGGAATCGACTGTTTTTTTTTGCTCGCCTTATTATTAAGATTGGGCAGCCTGGTTGTCCGCATAAGGACCAAGCAACGACACATCGAACGACCGTGACTGCTCTCAAAACATTTCACAAAGCTACCGGCCTAAAAAAAGATGATGCACACTTTGGACGCAACCTACAAGCTCTATCTAGTCTTAGGATCTCGTTAAAAAAACTTCAACATTACTACACATGCTGGTTGTCTCATTTACTTGCAGCTGTGACAGCAGGATGTTATAAACAGGACAAACTCGAAGAAGATCGACCGGTTCTTTTTGATTTTTTTGACCAGGTACACCTGACAAGCGTTCCGGTAGAAGAAGTGCGTGATAGCGTAAAGCTGACCTAGAAAATATGCTGTTGTGTTTGGCTTGTGTTTACGATATCAGACGTCTACCGAATGGTTCGTTCACATCATCATCATCGTTGACATACGTGCACTGTTATTAAACATTCTAAATCCGGCCCAACCCTGAAGCAATCTTCAGCGTTCAGGCTACTGGGTGTACACAACGGTTCAAAAACCAATCGTATCAACGGATTATTTCTATCCGAGCTCACAATTAGCGACTACAATAACGGGCCCTCTTACTTTTCCCGTTGGCGCCTTTTAAGCAGTTTTTTCCCTTCCCTTTGTCAACCTGTTTTTCTGGCCTCACCTTTTGTCTCTGTAAATTAACCACACAAACAGCCATCGTAAAACGAATGAAAAAGACCCGGCACACTTTTGACGGCACTTTCATTTCAAATCACCGGTGAAAAGCGAGCATAGATTGCATTAAAAAGCCCTCTCAAGGGAGGCAAGGTTACTACCTAGTAAAACATATTGCTTAAACAACGCACCCTACTGTTTAGCGGAAGAAAACCCTACAAGCCGCGAGTGGATGTACTATTCGCAGTTACGCCTCGTTTATCTTCAGCTGCTACTTCGTCGGCAGTCTTCCCATTGCTATTGCCAATATATCCGAAAAGGCAAATTCCTCCACCATTCATATCTGTCGATGAATCGCAGTCAACGCCGTTTTTTTCTCGTATATCTGTAAATTAAGTGACATCAATCAGAGTGCACGATATTCCAGTTCAGCGACCGAATCAATTCGACCAACCGGCCGATGACGCCCCATTCCCATTGTTGTCCAGCTGACATAGGAACAATACTGTATTACACTGAACAGAAGTGAGGAGCAGCGCGCGTCATGAACGCCACCGATCACGAGCTGGATTATTTAGTATATATATAGAAATCTATCGTGTTTGTTCGATGATCGTGTGCGTGGGAAGAGTGTTCTTATATATGTCTCGTTGTTCTTGCCAACCAAAGGAAGCTATAGAAAATATATCATTGCTTGTGCGTGTTCCTGGATAGTATGAAATCTAGTATGTATAAGCCCGCGCGAATTTTGAATTCATCTAACATTGACGTCACTGTGCTGTCGTTCGTTTTATGTGAACTTTTCGTGTAACGGAACTTACGTGTACCACGTATTCGCTTATTGGCAACGTTCTATCCAATTAGTTGCTTCGTCTTCAAGTGTAAGTAGACTAAGAAGGCCAGTTTTTATTCTAATATTCGGAGGTGTGTTATTGTTGTTATTATCATTACTATTTTGATCGTATGTTCAGAAAACCATATATGAAAAAATTATCCGTATCATTATTATCGTCAGTCGGGTTAGTGATTGATTCTGTTACCACTTATTGCTAACTGGAGAAATCGTGTTAGCTGGCGAACGATCATAATACATAGCTAGCCTTGGACTTAATTAGCCCTTAAACTGAACACAAGTAAGAGACCCACGGTGGAACGCCAGCCAGAAAACCGGCAAAAGCGTTTATTATGAACTGCCTATAGCTGCAGTTATTACCGCCGCTGGTGCCTTACGCACGTACTAAGTTTGTTATGAATTCGACAGATGTCTTCGTTTCCGTGTTCAGCGAAGTGCTTTGAGCGTCACGAAGTAGCTAGTATTAACGCAAAATAAAAGAATCATGCAACACGCGTTTATCGGCTGATCGTTCAACCTATTAAACACTGTCAGCTTTAGTAAACCTAATGTATACTATCCTTATTTCGATATACACGTACGTTTTAGGGAGCTCTTCCGTATCAGGATGTTCCATGCAGTCCTAGTGAAGTTGTGTATGTCCTGAGTAATTGCAAGGCATCGACGAGGCCTTATAATGATCCATAAGATCTCGCTGTATACGTTGCGATCGGATTGAAAGTAACGAGGTACTCGAGATGAAATATAGAATTACTGGAAGACTAATATTTTGTGAAACCTGTCGAAAGTTTCTTTAATACGAGCATTTTTTTGTCAATGAAAATATAACGGACGTATGGAAAGTACTGAAAACACGATCACTATGCATTTTCGATAGTATCATCCCTGATTTTACCTGTTGCAAACGAGAAACGAATTTTATTGAAATATGAGTTGGTAAGGATGCATGAAACGTTCCGAGCCGATGAACATACATCAAAAGAGAAGTATCCGCTCTACCGTTGTGGGGTGTGGGGGGAAAAACGGTGTTTGTTAAAATAGAAAGAGATGGAAATTCGATAGTCAAGAAATGATATGCATAGACTTATGCTTGTGCATAACGTTACCTAATTGGAAGTAAACTAATTAATAGTACTGGTTATTAGAGGTAAATTAGATATCTACGTTGTCTACAATCGTCTGATTAGTAATCAACGTTCCGATCGGACTTTCAAAGCAAATTCCTATTGAGCTGGTGTTAGGTGATACTTGAGGGTGCAATTCAAACCTAATAATCGCTGACAAATTGTTTTGTCAAGTACGTGTTTTCTTATAAAGAATTATATTGTTTACAACCTGTATAGTTCCTAGTTGTTATTTGAATGGTATGTATATGTCGAGCCGGTGTATGTATATTGTTTGTTAAATGCGTACCCGGTCACCTGCAGAATACTTGATACGTTATCGTATTACTAACTTTCAGCTTGAGTTTTGCTGTTCATTCACACACTCACTTAAATATCGTTTACCGTAATTTTATTAGTTACTGGGTTACACAGTACGAGAACCCTCAAAAAGTATCATTTGACGAGGCCAAGTTATCTCCATAGCACGGATGGTCACCTATAAAAAAGCCCAAAAGCGTTACATCATACACTCCCCCATTCACTCGATAAAAAGTTCACCCTTCTCTAATCGTTACTGCCTATTTATTTCTACTGACGTTTCCCACTACCGGAAAGTCTACATTGCAGTACATGAGCAAAGCTTATACACATGCATTTCAGTATGTAAATAAAGTATTTTATATAGACTAAGGATTTATAATGCTCTTTGATGAAATAACAGAACGGGTGAACTATCCGATCATTATCATCATCGTCGTCGGCATGAGCAGGAGTCAATACTGGATTTTATTTGCGAAGTTTTCTTTTAAATAGTGGCATTATCTTTACCTCGCGCATGATGTATGAGTTGACGGTCAGATCCATTTGATCTTGTGGGTCAACTTATTCATAAACAGCTCTACAAAGACAGCGACCTTTTCCGCTTTCGCCTACTTCACTAAAACTACCTTCAACCTTCAAAGGAACGTTCGCGTACTATCCGGAAGCCCCAAAGACCAAACGCCCTTTTTGCTAAGAAAACAACCAGTGATACCATTATTGTTTAGCGGCGTGTCTCTCCTAGCCTCTTCATCTTTCGGATCTCGCCCTTTACGTTTGCCATACAGAACTAATGCTGTGCTTCTTAGGCCAAAACTAATACTACCTTTTCTCGTGCAAGTGCTTTCTGGGCAGCAAGACGACTAGAAGCCCCAATAACGGTTCGGCCTCGGGACTCTCGCAGCCGTATTTATCTCGGTCGCTGTGCCTCGTGTAGTCAGCCTCTGGTGCTCAATCAAATTTTTCTCATGAGTCTTCATACCCTTTATTCTCTCTCAGCTCGTATCCATTCGGGGTGCCTTATGCCCCTCTAGGTCCTCAGAACCGGCTAGCTGAAGCTATTTTTAATGTGTTTTCAGATTTGCATTTTGTCCAAAAACTGAAAGGCCTCTAGCAATAGGAATAGCACGGGCAGCTGGGTTAAGCTGCTGACCGCGCGTGCCAGCTAGCTATACCATAGGCATATAGGCTTGTTTGGTTTGCACAGCTTACTTAGTCTAAATAGGCTGTTCGCCGAGACATGATAAGCGACCGAGTGATCGTGAGCGGAATGATCGCAAGATCCAGGATAGCGACGGGCCACGGGACTGTAATTTTGTTAGGAGCAGAAATTTGAACGGGGCCTTTGTCCTTATCATCGACTGACTAGATCCGGACCATTCTTCATTGTCGTAGTCGTGTCTTGCCGGTAAGTAAGTAGGGAACAATGTGTCTCCTGTTGTGGTCGTCGTCGGCGTCTCCGCAGGAAACATCATTTTGGAATGCTCGTTAAATGCACACATGCAACAGACACAAAAGATGCACTGTTGCACGTTACCACTTGTTCGGAGCTAACGAAACAGTGAGCAGAACGAACGAGCTTCCTAGAGTTGTCTATGCACGCCCGAACGCAATGGCATTATGTATATAGATATATAGAATCCCAGTTGCTTTTTTGTAGCCATAATACTTTGCTTATAGGCATACGAGAAATTCGGGTAAAAGCCTAAAAGTACTTTTTAGGTGGTACACGTAACAGTTTAAGAAGGAATACAATACTGTCATACGTCGAAAATTGGTTTCACAAAATCAATCCCGAGACAAAAATTTGCTTTATATAATACGATTGATTGCGTTAATATGAACATGGCCGTCCTGTGGGAGATTTTCCGAAAAAGGAAACCACTATATACAGTCAACAAATAAGCGACAAGTAGTCAAATCTAGCTATGTACACGTATTGTAATATATATGTACTACACTAGACGCTACGACATATCAATATCGATCAAAATATGTATTTCAATCTGAGTTATTACCAAGAATTGGTTTCTCTATGACGGTTTTGGCATTCTAACAAGGCTAGCGTACAGCGGCTGTTTTAGTCTGACTTCTTGTGGACGAATAGTGTTCCATCTTAGAGCGAGGTGCGAAGTAACTATGCATGCACATTGACTGAATATTGTTGTTCAAATAGGGGCACTTCCTTTGCCCCTTTCGCTTCGTCGCCGCAACTGACTACGACCGACTGGCAACCGTTTTGGAGTCGATATTTAGTACGTGTTGGCTTTTATTATCTAGCATCTGACTTGGGAATCTGCGTTGCACAACGGGCTCTCTTTCCTGTATCGGTGATTTTTCGGGAAAATAAAAAAGATTGGATTCCGCCTGGTATTCAATACAGAAATACTGCTAGTCCCTAATACGAAGCGAATAAGCAAATTTACGATGACGAAATTACAGAACAAAATCTATGATACAGTCAATATTAGTGTACAAGAAAATAAGCCCATAATAAAAAAAAATAAAATCAATTTGCGTTAATGGATATCAACAGTCAGCCATACCCTTTGTATCCTATTCTACAAAAGTCGTTTCTCAAATATTGATATTTTGTTATTTGCGCTACCCCCCACAATCTTTTTTCTAACTTTATTTTGATCCAGCGCGGCGGTCGCATTCACCTTGGCATAGCATGATGGCCAGCAGCTATTTCCACGCTAACTCAGCGGACAGCTCATAGCGATGACGCTCCGTCGATAGTATCGTGTACGTCATCGCCTTTGCTACAGCCAATGTCCATACGGGGACTAAAGCATGGCTGCTGGTTGGTGTCTTTCGAGTCGATTTCATTATAGAATGTAGACGTTAGAAAATTGTCCACCCATAATAGACATACTTCTACTAAGTGCAGGGATTAGTATAATTATTCAAACAGTTGACACGACAGTGAATCGGAAACTTGATGGTAATATGGCTGGAACAGTTTGAATCGCTCTCAATCTGACGAAATTCCAAGCCCAAACTATTTACCCAAACCACTAAAAGCTATTTACGAGCTAGGCAGCTTTTCATAAGTAATCCAGAATAGAAGTTATCCGTTAGAACAGGTCGTAGAGTAGATTTGGCCTAGTCATCGAGACACGAATGGAGACATCCGGCCTGTTCAGTTCTTTTCAAGAATATAGGAAAGGAACAAGAGAAAAGAGAAGGGCATTGGAACATAAGTGAAAAATAGAGAAATGATTATACGGGATGGAATTAAAGGCTCTTAGCACTTTGAAAGCCCCTATTCCTAGACATCGGCCCCAGCCCGTGTACGAAACGTTGCAGCGATTCCTCATAGTCTGTGTTATCGAATACAAAAGGAATTTAAAAACTTACCAGCAATCAAGTTAGTTCGTAAGAACGAAGGCGTTACCCACCGCCCATGCTCCAACATTTCTGAATAACGGTCAACTGAAAACTGGCAGTTCACTGCGACACACTGCAAAATTAACTTTAAAGAGATCTTTGAACTTTCCTGCCCCCAGTTACCTACTTACTATGAGCCAACATTATTAAGGTGTTCGCCGAAAGAAAGAGCATTATCTCTTTTAGGACTTGCTTGCGTCGTCTTCGGCAGCATACGTCGCATACATGTGCCGTTATGGCATTGTGGTTTCTACGTCATGTTACATAGAAAAACATAACCATCGCTTTCCTTAGGTAGAACTGTCATCACCGTGTATCACTCGTCGAATGCGTTTCGTATTGTTAAATTAAGCTCCAATCGCATCTACACAATGTGAGACAAACCACTCTGTTATTAGACAACACCCATTGAAAATAGTAGTAGGCCTACTCTATACGCATAAAACGAATCAAAACAAGTGGAATCACAACATTTACCGTTGTCCATGGACCTTTCCAAACGATCTAGGTGTATTGCCTTCTTCTGTTGCCCTTCACGGTAACAATAGCCAACAAGAACGATATAAACAACTTCAAAAGGTCTCCTGCTCAGTCCTAGTAGTGCGTCACAGCAAGGCCTTGCTAACGTCTACCGCGTCCCATTAGCGGCTAATCGGCCAACTCGCTTGGCTAAGGCTTGGAGCTCGCCAAGTTAGAAGATAATCGCACCTGCAAATTCATTGTTAACTATTGGGTTAGTTAGATACTGTCAAGACCTACGTTTCACTTCCATGAATAAAGCTAGACGACCTCTTACTAATAATGTTGTTGAGCTAGCCGTCACAATAACAGCAGCGAGACCGCTTCCAGAGAAGCGAACGCTATCGCCTTGGCAAAAAAACTACAGAATTCTGTACTGTATTTATACTAGATAGAGGTATAAAGATATGTAGTATTTATATATTTGTATCTCATACCATATATATATATACGTCGAGGCACAGCTCTCTACGGAGTGAGCGCTTAACGATAACGCAATTCGCAGGTTTTAGCTGTGGTCTTTCAAATTTTCCATAACATACAAATCGAATTGTGCACGTAGAAGATGGGCGAACGAAGCGACATATTGTTTCACCGAACACCGAACTCAAAGGTGAGTTCGACGGAGTACGGTATTCACCAAGCTAGATACGGTAATGGCAGAACCTGCCTTATTTTTATTGCTATTTAGATAAGAGCAATGCATAAACATATATTTATTTAGCTAATGTAACTGCTGTCACTTACAGATTCTGTGTAGTAATTTCATTTTTGCGACAAAAATAGATCGTTCAAACGTCTGTAGCCTTTGGCACTTCCAAATACGTATGTTTTCTGAGTCATATGAGCAAGCGGGTGATCTCATCGTTATCTCACTAGCAAAGAATCTTCGACAGTTGTCTAAAGGTTTTCGGACATCCGGTTTTCATCGGTTTTAAGATTCTAACTATGGCTACATACACAGAGAATATAGCGCTTCGTGAAAATATGGGTCACACTATAACTCGCAGACCTGATACATTCACACGAGCAACGGGTCTAGAAGACTGTCGAATGAACTGGGACAAAACCACATGTAGGGGATTGGCCTTCTGAGAATACGTGAGCATTACAACTATAACGATAACTGTACACCAGTCATACATAGCCAGTGGCTGAGAATTTAGCATCTATATTAATTAATTTCCAATGTACAACGAAGAAAGTTGGGTCGGTTTTTTTGAAATCACCATCAACGACAATAGCGGCGGAAACAAGGTACAATTTTTATAAATGCTCCTCAGCCTATGGTTCTCAATGGAAGTTAACGTGCAGTGAAACCGTTTGTTTTTTTTTTTTTTTGTTCCAGCACAGTATGTGTAAAGCTGCTGCATGATATAGCCGGTTCGGCGATACATTTTTTTTTTTCTCTGTCGTTTAGGAAATCGGAGCGAAACCCGCTGAGATTGCATTGACCTCACGTCGAGTACGACAACAATAACTACAGTCTCTGTTGCAAAGGGTACGCAACGAACAACAACGCCATTAACGCGTGCAGCTTTACTGATGGGTCGCCTCATTGTGATAGCAGTTCCTGCCATCATCATTCACCACCCCAGGCTGTCTAGTACTCCCGCTGATAGCCCATTTACGACATAGGTGTGCTATATATTTATAACGTGCGTACGCCGAACACAGCCACAAGCTTCCGACTTCCACGGTATTCCGCAATAACGTACGATTCTTTTTCACGCGGTGCTCTCGTTTAAGCTAGTAATTAATAGAAATTGTTCCGCCTGACGAGCTGCACTTAAATCTTAACTGGATTTAGTTAAATCTACGGCTGTGTTTTTGCCTACCTAGAATCCATGTACCTGTAACGGCTAGTCATTCATTAGTACGTATATTGTAGAAAACATTCTGTACTAAACAACTTTAAGAAGTGCTGTTTATGGTGAAGCTCGATATATGAAGGTCATCCACGCAAAAGGGCAGAAATACCTTCTCATGTGAATTTTTTAAGTTACATACACTTATCTGATTCGGTGCAGTAATATATAAAACGAATGCTTTCCACAAATGAGAGCATAGGGTTTTTTTTTGCAAGGGGACCTCCGTTCATTCCGATGTAGGCTGCTACCGCAGAAGTTACAATTTGCTCTGCTCAACTCATTCGAAAACACAGCTCACATATATCAGTACTGATATCATAAATAAAATCAATTAACTTTAATCTTTTTTAAATAAATTCGTCAAAAAAATAAATACAAATTTTTAAATATTTTAT